CTGAGTTCTGCAGCTTCAACTGTTTGTCTGAATAAAGTCCGTCCAATCAGCTCAGTCTGCTCCAGGTGAACTAGAACCGGTTCTGGACACCTGGAGGAGGATTAAAGTCATTAAAGTAGAAAAACACTCAGTTTGTCAGCAGGAAGTGTCAAATTTATCCTTTTAAAATTAAACTGACGACTTAAAAAAAGTGAAGGAGGAGCGTGAACGTGTCGTTTTAACAAACTGGCATCAAACCAGAGCTGGTTGATTTGGAGAGAATGTTTTATTTAGATGTTTATCTGCACAAGTGAAGAAACAACAAGCTGCACTTCTGCTGTTGGCAGTAGGTCTGATGTGAATGTGGTCGCTGTGAACGGAGATGTTCTGTCAGACTCAGAGTTCTGTTCATGGAAACGACGAGTGAGCAGAAAAATACCTGCTGGGGTCTGAACAAAAGGCCACAGCACAGCGACAAACCTGCGTTTCTCACATAATTAAGAACACATTTGGAGGTTTGTGTGTCAGAGGTCGCAGCCAGCGCTCACAGGAAGCGTTCCCACAACGTTGCCTGCAGGTTCCATTCACGTTTTAAAGTTTAATCCAACGTCGAACAAACATTTTTAAGTGTTTTTTATCGTTTCAAAAATAATCCTGCGAGGTTAAAGGTGAACCAGACAGAAACTGGAACCTGCTCGGAGACGGTCGTCATGGAAACAGATGATGTTACACAACAACAATGAAACAACGCTCGAAAAACGCTTTCAGGAACAAAGTGAGTGGCTGAGCGTTTTTCCTGCAGCGTTCTGAGGACGTTCTGGGGAAACGCTTTCACAACGTTCCACAGCGTAACGGCAGAGGAAGAACGTTCTCAGAGCAGCGTTAAGAACGTTACGGCGGAACGGACGAGCAGCACTATCAGAACGTCGTCGACTGTTTGACCTTCACAAAGAACGTTCTGGGAACTGAAGGAGAACTGAAGCTGAAAACAGCATCAGAACTTTTTCAACGTGTTCTGACCCGGGACTCAGAAACAAATCTGTAAAAGAACTTGATAAGGACACTGAGGATGTTTTCTGAGTTTTAGTGGTGATGATTTTTTATTACTAATGAGGTATTTGTTTGGAAACAGATTTCTGCTCTTTCATGGCGTATTATCACATTTTCTATGATTTAATGATGCAACAACTGTTAAAAAAGTGTTATTTAGTCGTAAATCAATAAGATGAGATCAAACTGTATTCATCCTGATGGAGGTTCTTGTGTCAGGTGTTGCTCAGAGATCACAACAGAATAATAAAGTAATGTAAGAATAAATGCAGAACAGCAGCAAGATTAAAAAAAAAAAGTATATAAAAGTAAATCAACCAGAAAACCAGAGCCGGAGCTACAAATGATCCTCAAGCAGAGAAATAATCTCTCACATGTACAAACTGTTGAGAAACTCATTTAATTTAAATCACTTCATGTTGAAAACTATTAGAAAAAAGTCCATAAAATAACAGAAAACGTTCAGACATGTTTGTTTATTGAAGACTTTTGCTGTTGCCTCAGTATTCATCTATGAATAAGAAACTAATCCACCATTTCTCTTCATATTACATCTGCAGCAATAATAATTAAAAAAGAAAGAATTCAAAGTATGTTCTGTGATAAAACCGGATTTTTCTCATCTGTGCTTTTTTTGGTTTTATAAAAAAAACAAACTGATGTAAAATAAAAGGAAATGTGAGTTTTTCTGGTTAATTCTAATAATTGAGAAACAAAGATAATAATTAATAATCATTTGAAAATGTAAATAAACAGGAATTCACAGTTTCTGTTTAAATATGAGGCTGGTTGTTCTTCTGTTGCTGTTTAAACTATTTTTATTTGAGCTTTACTTTCTGCAGTCTGATGCTGCTGAAAGCTGCTTTTAGCTTCAGCCACAGGAACCAGGAGGTCCGTTAGAGGCAAAGCTGCTTCCTCCGGTTCCTCCGGTTCCGTCCAGCAGGTGGATCCTCTAAACGGAACACTGCTGGATTCTTTTAAAGCTTCTTTATGGTTCTGCTGCTTGATCTCGCAGATATGAAGCAGCTCCAGATTAAAAAGCTCCAAACTGCTGCATCACTCATAATCCAGCCAGACTTCATCCTCTAAAGCCGCCTGCAGGACTTTCTGTGGATCCGCTGCTTTTTAGCAGCAGAATAAATCCTCCAGCAGACAGCTCTGTGTGTTCAACAGTTTTACGGTTTTCTGACCTGAGACCAGCTTTAAATCCATCTTACTGTTAAACTGATGAAACGTTGTGGAGCCAAATTAAACTCTAATTCTTCCAGCTGATGTTTTACAAACTAAAGTCCAGTTTTTGTGCTTCACAGAACAAAAGGTTCAATAAAAGTTGATGCATAAAAAGTGTAAATGTGAACTACAGCTGTGGTTCTCTCACCGGATTCTGCTCTCCTCTTCAGTCCGTCCTTCATCAGTCGACACTCGCTCCGACCGTCCGCAGATCTGCGCTCCTCTCTGCGCTCCTCTCTGCGCCTCCGCAGCGCTCAACTTTGCGTCCTGCCGGGTGTCGCTGCAGCATCCCGGGCGGCGCTCGGAGCCTCCGGCGGCTCCGGAGCTCCGGTCAGAGGATCCGAGCTCCGCGAGAGACGAGGAGAAGCGGCGGTGTGAGGATCTGCAGAGAGCCGAGGCGGGTTTGATCCGACGGCAGGAACGTCCTCCTCTTCATCCTCCTCTTCACCCTCCTCATCCTCCTCCTCCTGCTCCTCCCATCAGCTGGAAGCAGAGCGGCTCCGGTCCAACTTTCACACATTGATGCATTTAAGACGAGACTCTGTGAAAACCTGAAGTCTGTCATCATTTCCTGGATCCCTGGAAGCTTTACAATCATGAACAAGTTCCCATCAGCTGTAGAGATGATGTACTGATGCACATCTGGACCATCCAGCATCATGAGGGGCTCTCAGGCCTCTCAGCTCTCCAGGTTCCACCGCCTTGACCAGGAATGAGGAATTCAAACTGAATCCACCTTCTAAAATCTGAGCTTCTCTGAGGAGTCAGACATGAATCAAGCATCACATTCAGCCACTAAAGCTCATGTTTCTGTTACAGTTAATAACTAAAACCTGACCTCTGAATCAAGAAATAAGAACAACGAGCTTTACTGATTTTACACTTTTTTTTGTAAAACAGTAAATCTGAAAAGTCCTGAATAACAATAATAATCATGATCTGACATAAAAACCTGGTTCTGGTTAAAGAGCTTCTACGTCCTGATGCATGAACATCACAGAACCATAACGGATGGTTGAGGTTCTGACCAATGCTGGAGGCTCAGATCAGCTGTGGTGTCGACCCGACACTGGTGGAGGTCTGATATAAGATCTGTACCTCGAGTCA